TTTCTCCAAATAGATGAGAGTATTAGGTATGTAACAGGAAAAACTTATCCAACTGCAAAATTCAACCACACAAGCACAAAAGCAGATGAGTATGCTATGACTATCCCATTCAGCAGAAGCTAACAGAAGCCAGACGTCCAAGTATTGGTGTTAGTAAAATCTCCCAAGACGAATAAATCGAATACCATTTGACAAAAGACCTACAGAACAGAAACAAGTCAGAGGGGCAAGGCACGAAAAAAGTATCAAATTACATGGTGGAAGAACCTAAAACAGCGTCTTGAGAAATTAAAATAAGATCTTGTACCGTGAACATTCTCAGTCCTATAGAAATTTCCCACCCAATTGTGATGAAAGACTATATAGTAAAAATGGGGAAGAACCAAGTGATTGAGGTTGGACGAATCGATCCAGAACTCCAACCAGCATCGAGCATACACGAAGAATGCAGAAACTCATAGGTATGACAGGTAAAGGATTGGAAGGTGCCAGACATGGAACATGAATTAAGGTGGCAATGGTTCAGAATGAAACAAAAGAGCAACAAAATACAGAATATATCATCGCAGGTACCCCATGTGATGGTAAATGCACAGGAATAGCCACAAAAAACAAACTGATGGAGAACAAGAGCCAACCATAAGTCCCTATTAGAAGTGGATGGTAAACAAATGATACAAGACAGTGTTCAACCCCAGAAGAACCCAAAAGCAAAGAAGCCACATATGGAGGAAAAGAACTGAAGATGACAAACACCCCAACATGTAAGAAAGGAGGAGGAAGTATCCCACAAAAATTCCATAGAAAAAGGTGGAAAACTAAGAAAGGAGGTGTAAGGTAGACATGTCCAGTAGGTGAGTTGATAGGGTAAGACAAAGCTGGAAAACTAGGTTGGGGATAAAATGGATAAGATGAACAGAGACTGTCCCTCATACAGACGACAGATTCTAAGTACATAGAATCAAGAAGAAAATCTGCCTGATGGTTAGCTAAGGCAAAATGAACCACAGCTTGTGTAGGGCAAGACATGCAAGTATCCTCTTCCAAAAAAGACAAAAATGCTCATCATGAAACATAATGTCTGGAGAAGGAGGGAAAAATTATACTGTGAAAAGTGTTGAAAAAAAGACTGAGATAGACCTAGCAGACTCTGAGGTAGAGGCCTGTGAAGGCAAGCTCTAATGAGGTGGAGTAAAACTGACAAAATCTAGGATGTCCTAAACAGGTTCAGCTGTTATAGGAGGAAGAGGAGCAATATCAGGAGAAAGTAGAGTGGACCCCAGCCCACACAAACTAAATTAAATGTGGAGTGAAATAAACATATGTATTAGATGTTATGTGTTGAAGAAAACAAGATACTTAACCTAATGATCAATTCATCCATAAAATGAATTTCAGGTAAACCAAAAATAACAGACACTTGTAAATCACTAAATTTCAAAGTTAAAAAAAAGCCTAAACTAACAACAAGTATGTACAATCAAGAGAAGTTAGTGCACACCCCAGTTACAGGGGTTCACACAAACAAAGTTAATATGAAGAAGTATAAAACATATATAATAACAAAAAGGAATTAGACGTTATATTGTAAAATTAACTAAGAGTATACTGACAACAACATATGTAAGAGATGTGATGTATTGAAAAAAACAAAAAGAAAAAACAATTAGTTAACCTACTTTATGATATACCAGTAAGATGAATTACAGGTAAACCTAAAATAACAAAGACTAACACTGAGCCTAATCTAACATAATAGGACAAAGGATACAACTAATCTTCAAACCTAAACTTGACTATGAGTATTGACCAATCTAACTAAATTTATGTTATTGAACCCAAATAACTACAGATAATAATATTAACAGTAAAAATATTCCAAAACAATAACAGTATAATGTATTTTCTTTCCTTATTTAGACAAAAATATTTCAAACTGTTTGGCCCCCAAACTTGAGTTGAAACCTGACGAAGGTCAGCTCATTGGATGATTAATCTCCCAATGAAGTAAAGCTGAAAATTCAGCATCAAGGACAGCCACTTGAAGCCTGAGTAAATGTGCTGATAGAAGACATAACCAAGGTGATAACTTAAAATTCATAATTTCTGATTCAAAATGAATAACCAAACATAATCGAGTTGTCAGAAGGAAATAAAAAGTATTAAGTTTTGTAACTGGGTAGAAATATAAAATAATTCCACTTCGGAATAAGTTACAAAAATAACACACATAATAAATAGTAAACTTGTTGAGAAAAGATGATATGAAGAGAGCACAAACTAAACATCTGAACCCATCACTGCCAAACTATAAGTGATAGTTAGGTAGAATAGCATAGAGGGAGTCACATAAGTCACATGTGTGGGAAGTACATCTAATGGTAGAGGTTTGTCACATGATGATATACATACATGAATCAGTTAATTCTCTCAACATTGGTTTGGTCGATTTGACCGACCATGTGACCTCTTTGTATACTGTTACAAACTTAAAGTTAATGTTTAAAAATTCTGCCTCAGAACTTTCATTATATACATATGTTTTAATAAAGATACAACTACTATTTCTTTGTCTGTATCAATTGCATTAACTCTCTCAACACGAGCTCAATCAATTTGACCAATCACATGACCTCTTTGTACTCGTTTAAAGTCTTTATAGATTTAATACTTCTAACTTTCAATATAGTGTGTATATCTTCACAAATTTTGGCAGTCTTTCAGCTAACATTATAAGTCTTTCACATACAGGAAATCATTTTTAGTGAAGTAGTTGTAATAAATTAAAATAAAGATTTGTCCATAAATATACTGAGTATTTGTTTTGAATAGTCATTGTGCAAAGAAATTTTCATGTTAAGATTAAAAG